CTCCTGTCTATTTGCTACAATGTACGGATCAGAGATTACATTCTGGTTCCCCCTTTTACTGTTATCCAGTCCTGTTTGTCTCTGTATCTGTAATTTAACTTTAGCTCTATATGCAACTTAAATTAAACTGTGCTAAGTTTCATATTTCTAAATTGCTATATATCTTTAAGTGATGGTAAACATTTAAAGTCATAAAGGTCTAATTTAACTATACTTAAAATATAAGCTAAGTCTATACAACTTAAATTTAACTCATGTATCTTTAAATGATGATGAAAGTTTAAAATCATAAAGGTCTATTTCAAACTAACAAAATATTTATACCACTCAGTCCATCCTGTAAGTCGTTTACAAAGGTAGAGCTTTTATTACAAAAAGGGATTTTTCTCTAACTAAAGGCAAACTTTTAACCGTGGACAAGAGGACAACGGAATCTCCTTTCCCCGTGTTGCTTGGGCCAACGGTAGGCGAGTCTTCCTATAGTCTAATCCACAGGTCACATGCTATCAACAAGGAGGCAGATGTCCTACAGCCCGCTACTATGGATGGAGGACCTTGGGGATGCAGCCTGCTGGCAAGTTTCTGTTATTCTTTAATCATTGATTCAGGTAAAACCTTATCCTTCTCAAGAACTCTGATGCTTTTGACGACTGGTAGTCTTGCCAGCTTAAAGCAAAATAGATTCCAGGAACAGGTATTTTAGGGTTTATCTTTGTGAAGATAGGAAAGTGTAAGACGTATGAAGGTCTGAGAATGTAGTTACGAAGGTCTGAGGATGGAAAGGTCTAACACGATAGATAAATGCAAGTTATGAAGGTCTGAGAATGGAAGGTATGAAGGTCTGAAAATGGAAGGTCTAAGATGGTAATGTAAAGTGTATGAATTAAAGTTATAAAGGTCTGAGTATAAAAAGGCTTAACATTGAATTCACGTAATAAGCAAAATTATTACCAATTTTAGTAAATGATAAATATTCCGCCATGATTTTACCTGATGATTTCTACTCCAGATGCAGTAATTATCTTTGACTAGCAGGTGGCACAGGCATTCAGTTAGTCCGTGGCAGCACCCCAACCTTCTTGGGTCCCCCCAAAGATGGTCAATGCCCCCCACGTCAGCAGGAAGCAGTCTTGAG